TTGATTCCTGTTTTCATCCACGTTTCCAACGCCACTCCTTGTTCTCACCAATTTTTTTGATCTATACACCGAATAAGGTGAAATTAGATCCTCATTCATGATAGATATTCAAATCATCCTTATTACTCCGAAATCTTTACATGCTAGTTCTAATACCGTAGACATACACTTAGAATCCTAAACACATAAGGTTTCCAGATCTGGTTGGCAACAGACCATAGATCCGAACAATTAATATCATGTATGGCGACATATAACATTTAGCACATAAAAGCATTTTAGGCAACTTTCCTAAAATAAACTAGTGCTCGTGTCTGAAATATAACAGGCACACATCTAACAACCTTCACTTAAAATTCTAAGTTTAAGTCTAGAAATCCCACAAATTCCTAGTTCGCTTAAACTAATGCTCTGATACCAACTGTGACATCCCCAATATCTCGGCCAGAAAAGACCGATTTCATTTATGTTTTTTTGAAATAATTTCAGAGTAAATCATTTTGATTTAAAAGAGTTGCGGAATTTGTTCCCAAAACAAAATATGATAAAATAATATTTATTAAAGCATTTCATCAAGAGATGCATTTTCATTATATAATCAAAACTCAGGATGTCATGTTCCGATACAGATCATAAAGCATAAACAATAACATTACAAGTCATTCAACGAATAAACTGTAATATAAATAAACTGAGTGCCACTTCCTTACAAGTCATTCATCAATATTATGCCCTTGTGCCACTTCCTGTAATACAAATAAACTGAGTGGGTTAGGCTTGGGAGCCTGGTGAGCATATATGGTTTTCAACCAACAATAAATAATTATATTTAATTTTCACCAACCAACAATAACCCGATTACCCATTCCCGTTATCCTCACTTTATGTCCCTAAAACAACATCTATCTCAAGGGACCTAATCTAGGATTTTCATCGGGACGAACATTACTGCTAAAGGGTTTCCTCAATAATAGATATCCTAAAGACAACCATGAGGGGGATAGAGTACACCGGTAGACACATCGTTCACAACACCTACAGTTATGAACATGCTAGTGTTCCACTGGACTGTTTAGAAAGAGTCCGTGGTCGTTATCCATACTCTACTAAATAACTAGATCAACAACAGCGACATCGAGGCCTCTCATCTGTTTATCACACATCAACTATCTACCCATGTTCTACCCAACATATTAGTAGATAAAAATATATATTTTTATACATAGTTTAAAACCAGTATAGCATGTTCAATCGATACATATTCCACATAACATATGAGGCACACACACATGACACGTATTTCATAGAGAATAAATCAGATCTATGAGATAGAAGAAAGTGAATATACATTCACATATATAACAACAAATTATACACATAACACGTATTTTATATAAAATACTTTGTAATTATGTGTTAGAAGAAAGTAACTACACACTCACTTGATCAGAAGATGATCGGACAACATTGCGACTTGTAGAAGTAGTATTCTTCGGTAGATCTGGAAGATCTTCACAAAAACGGGGCTCCTTGCGGGTAGAGCTTCGGCTCGGGAATTTCACATCTCGGGATCTTTGTGGCTTCGAGACTTGCTTCGGCGCTCGGCATTGATACCGGGGCTTCGGGATATTTCTAGCATGCAAAAGGATGCAAAACGGGAGAAAGAGGAGAGAATTTGGCAAATGGAGTCGGCTGCCCTCGCAAGCCTTTTATAGAGGCTGAGGCCTCGCATTACGTTAGGCGTAATGCTCTACGCGGGGCGTACGCCTCCGGAAACATCATTGCATGCGTCATCGGAGCACTCAAGTCCGAGGCGGTGCATGTATAGGGGTACGCTGGGCGCAATTCGGATCAGACCAATGACTCCTTCGGATATTATCTGAATTTAAGATTAAATAAATAAATATTAATCATTTAAAAACTTCTGAAATTCATATCTTCTTCATAAGAACTTCGTTTTCAACGTTCTTTATATCCACACGTAGGTGAGACTACGCTCTACAACTTTCGTTTAGACTCCGTCGACTAATTTTGAATTTTATTTTTAATATTTATTTTTAATAGGCCAGGACAGGAAAACTCCGTTATAAATTCATAACTTCTTCATCTGACGTCCGTTTTCGTCTGTCTTTTCACCAATGCACTACTATCAACGAGATCTTCGATTCTCGTTTAGATTGTTTCAACCAACAATCACTCGATCTCGAATCGAGTATTTGAGCTGCATACTGCTAAGCTGAAACTTCGGAAAATCATAACTTCCTCATACGAAGTCAGATTTGGGCATTCTTTTTATGAACACTCTCGGTTTAATGAACTCTACGACTTTCGTTTAGATCACTAAGGCTAAATATCGTTCTAACGTAAATTTCACTTTTTACGTCATTCAACGTTGTCGGTTCTGTCGCGAAACTTCGACAGGTCATAAGTTTTTCGTTATAACTCAAGTTCGGCATTCTTTATATATTCGGAAACCTCATTTCAACTACTACAACATTATTCATAGATATCAAGCTTATCTAACATTTCGTTTTGACGCTTATTTATTTATTTTTATTCTTAATTCAATTAAGTCACGCAGTTAAGCACAAAACACATAATACTCAAGTAATAGACTTCTATTATTTCAAAACGAGTTACAAAGGTTAACCTAGACTGTTATATCAACACTAATGACAAGCCCAGAAACACAAGCGTTACATTTAACTATGATATAAACTGAAATTTCATACCTTTACGCTTCGTAGCTTGTGAGAAGTATTGTGTATTGCTGAGAATTTTATACAGATCTTAATGCAGCTTTTCATTCTTAATTAAGAGCTTTAAAATGTTAAGGTTAACTGAAGAGCTTGTTTTGGTTGATTTCAACTAGGTAAAAGAGATCATAATAGAGCTTGTTAGTTTTTTTAGTACCAGCTATATAGAACATATTTTGAATAACGAGATCTTAGCTGATTGCATGATTAAGAAAGCTGCAATAGAGCTGGATTCGTTTCTATTATTGAATTTGTTAGTTTACTTTCGTTGCTATTTAGTTTAGTTAGTAACCAAAACCCTCTTTTTATATTTTCTGTTTGAATAACTAGGATGTGTCGTATACAAAAAGACATTAATCATTAGGTTGTCTCTGAGAATTAAACCCTACTTCCCTGTGCTATCACTTAGTGTAACCACAAGTGAAAATTTTATTTGCTTAAATTGTTCACTACAACGGTCTAAGAGTAATTAACATGAATTATTAAAAAATATAACGTAGTTGATTTATTAGTGGGGTCCCATTTTGAAAATTGTGATATTGCATTAATCCATGGGTATTTGCGAATTATATTGGTGTGGGTGACTTGAGTACCCAACATCATAGGGTGTTATTTTTTGTTCCCCCTATCATTGACCGTTGACATAAATAAAACCCCTTCCGAATTCGACATAAATAAAACATTTTGATTTGATTTTTTTCGTCATTTTCTAGTTTATTTAATTTTGTTATCTATTGTTGTTGTTATTATTTCATTTTTACGATCCTATATTTTGTTCCGATTATCACTGTGTTATTTTTTTCATTCGTACAATCTATATGTTATTATTTTCGTTCTGACTATCTTTACGTTATATTTTTGCCGTCCGGACATTCATATGTTATTTTTTCATTCCGACTATTTTATGTTATTTTTTTTGTTCTGACTAACTATGTATTAATTTTTTTTGTTTAGAGTAGCTATGTTTGTGTGTCTTTTATTTACTGGATACGAAAATCGCAACAAAATAAAAGCACCAAATAGATCGAACTAGAAAATAACACGATGATAGTTCAAACGAAAAAATAACACACAAATGGTCAGAAAAAATAGAGAGATAGTTGGAACAAAAAATAACACAAAGATAGTTCAAATGAAAAAAATAACACATGAATAATTGAAACAAAAAATTAAAAAACATAATGTTAGTCAAAATAAAAAAAAAATATAACACAAGGTTGTCTAAATAAAAAAAAAATAACATATAAATAGTCCGAAAAAAAAAATTTACTTACAGATAGTCAGAACAAAAAAAATAATATAAGAATTGTCTGTATCAAAAAAAATAACACATGAATAATCTAAATAAAAAAAATAACCTTGAATAGTTAAACCGGAAAAAAAACAATGCAAAGATAGTAAGAACGAAAACAAAACATATTGATAATTTGAATAAAAGAATAATATATAAATAGTCTAAAACAAAGATAGTCGAAAAGAAAATAACATAGTATTACTTAGAATGAAAAAAAAAATATTAATTTGATTGAAAAAATAACAAAAAAATAGTCTGAGTAATAAAATATATTTTTAATATTAATGCTAATAATAATAATAATATTATTATTATTATTTATTTTTTAAAACTATTTAAAAAAACATATAGACAGATAATTAGGGTTTTTTTTATTTTTATTTTTATTTTTTTATTTTTATTTTTTTTTTTTTTTTGGGGGGGGAGGGGGTGGTTGTTTCGGGGGTATATGAAGAATTCCGCACATCGTTTCATGATAAACAGCCACGTGGAACTACCCAAAAGAAAAAAGAAAAGTAGCATTTGTGTTATCGGGGAATGCATTTCATGGGACTAAAAGATTATTAAATTTCGCTCAAGAGTAAGAATCACATTTTATTTATTTATTTATTTTTGTCTCAAAGCGACTTGGTTTCCCCTTTTTTGAACGTTTTTTTTTTTTTAACGGAAAATAAAAGGCGCGCAGGTAGCCAACTGATCTACCACAGATTTGGTTTCCGCTGTAAAACCAATTTAAATGTTTTAACCGATTCTACTCGTACAAGGGTGTTTGTGTTTGTTGAATGCGTGTAGTTTTTACTGAATCTCTCGGGTAAAAGCCCAAGCACCATAATGCCCTATGAAGGAATTACTTATTTTTGTTTACTTCAAAAAAATACATGTTGACACTGTCCTTGCATATTTCCTTGTCTGTTGTATAGCTTTGAGATTTAAAAATATGATTACTGATTACATATATATATAAAATATACAAGTCTACACTTTTTCTCAACAATTGTGCTAATGCAAAACAGACAATAGTATCATAGACAAGTGGGACCATACACCCCACTTGGAATAGTACGGATTGGGTACATTACAGCTCATTAAAGAAATCGGAGCCTACGAATAATTTTGTTAATGTACAAACACAAGATGAAAGAAACTAGCAATACATATCATCACTCACTAATCAAACAGTGAAATATGGTTCCCGAGGCTTTCGAAACTCCAATAATCTCTTAGCAATCTTTCTCTCCCGTTGGATAGCGAGTATATGTGTGATTGATGCTCCTCTTTTATCCAAACTCTTCCTGGTGGAATATCTCCGCCACCATGCTTGAATGAAGGATGCCGCCCAAGTCCGCCAATGCCTGAAATGAAGGACAACAAATTCCAACTCTTTTGCTGGTAATGCAAATGCCTCCACGTATCCCGAGGCCTTCAAGGTTCTAGTGGAAGATGGTAGGCTATGTCCGGATTCAGGATCGACTACCCATATTAGAAGCTCATCACCACAAAAGTCTCCTTCTAAAAAAACGCTGTTGAAGAAACTGTCTGTGGTTGCACTCTCGAGACGACCATGTATGATGAAGAGCATTTCTTTGACCCGGTCTCCTTTCCGGATGATGTAACTATTACCCGCGTATAAACGCGGTATCAATCGTTGACAAATGTCATCAATCAACCGCTCATTCATTTTCTTGAACAAAGGAACCTACAATGCAATTCGACAAACAATCTTTAGATTATTGACTGGATATACTCCATTTTTCTCGATATAGAGGAACCTTCTGAGTCACAACTAGATAATATAAAGACAAGAATCTTATTTTACTCGTTAGTGTAACATACGAAATATTTGTAGAATGTGGAAGTAGCAAGTATGTGAATAGAAAGAATACCGGGATAAATATGACTATGTGTGTTAAAGTATATACGTTACACAAGACACAAGGGGCTACTCACGTCTTTTGCACAAACCATAGATCGAGAAAAAGTCTTTTGCACAAACCATAGATTGAGAAAAAATCTTAGCCCCAGCTTTTGGTGTCCTATTGACAATATTGGTCTCTATCTCAGTCTAATACACTCCCAAATGTAATTGGTTTTTAGGGATCAATTGTGATAATAGGTGGTAAAACTTTAAAAAGAGTGACTATCCAGCATAAATATATAAAAGTGAATTACCCTTTTGACCAAATCAGCACAAATGTGACGGTTTATGTCTCTTTTAGCATCCTTGAGTAGATTTTGAACCTTGTTCTCCTCAACCTCTCTTTGAGTTCTCAACCACTCAATTAGATCGTGGTGTGTAAATTGTTTTTCGAGATCAACCTGAAAAGGAATATTAAAAGAAATCATTAAAATACTTAGCAACGCTTACCAGTTACCGCTTAGGAAAAGCAATTGAAAAATAGATGCTTTTGTTAATAGTATTTTGTTATTACGTCATAGATAGATACAATCAAGTTGGAAATGTATCAATTCTTTCCATGATGAAATATCACCAAATATTGAATCTTGATCAAGTTTTCCAAACATTCAAACCTACTTATTTGCTTAAATATTCCATTTCAATCAAGTCATTAATTTGTAATTTTTATTGTTAAAATCAATGGGAACTCGTTACATCCTATACGAGTGGAAAATGAGGTTGTAAAGGCAAAAGATGTTGCAATATACCAAACAACTAACCAAAGTACACAAACCTTTTCTGGTATGAGATTTTCAAAACCGTGCTGGCTTATCTGTGTTGACTTCGAAGCCGTTGAAAGCTGTCAATAGGAAATGTACACAGATTTTGTTAGACAACAAAAGCAACCTAATGAGGAAAATAAAATTAAAATCTACGCTTTTTATTACTTCTAGAATAACATATAAAATTTTGTTTTCCCTTTAAATTTTCTTGAAATTATAATGAATACATGTATTGAGACCATAAACAAAAAATAAATGAAAAGAAAAGAAAAAAGAAAGGCAACTTACTTGATATTGCAGGGCAGTTTCAAGTCCTTTCAAGACGTCATTCATTAACGGACGTTTTTCATTGTCACTCTTTAAACATTGATAAGCAATTTTTGAAAACACCTTCAAAGAACTAGGATGTATTTCATCCTTTATATTACTCCATATAATTTCATTTAGGCTGTTTTGTTTGTAATGCTTCCTTACCAATTGAGTAAAGGATCCACTCTTGCAAAAACACAACCTCCCACACAAAACTTCAAACAAAACCACACCAAAAGAGTAAACATCCGACTCCTTTGTTAGTATCCCAGACTCTAAATATAACGGATCACAATACCCAATAGTACCTACAGTATTATTGGTCACAAGAAACGTATATTTTTGGTTAGCAGGACCAAATCTAGATAGACCCAGATCTGCGATTCTTGCATTCCAGTTTTCATCTAATAGGATGTTGGAACTTTTGATGTCACGATGTAGTACTCTTTGCTGGGTCTCACCAGGATCATGAAGGTATGCTAGTCCACGAGCCACCCCAATGCAAACGTTAAGGCGTCTAACCCAGGTTAGATCTTTGTTCTCAAGATGCAAGTCAAGGCTTCTATTGGATGCAAACTTGTACACTAGAATCTTCTCGCCTTTCTCGTCACAAAACCCTAGGAGGGAGACAATATTTTGATGCCTATAAACTGAAAGTGTAATGACCTCCTTCCAAAACTCAGAGTCTCCTTGCCCAAATGCACGATCTAAATGTTTTAATGCGACCATGCTATGCCCCTTGGAATGGAGTAGTTCTCCCTTGTAGACTCTCCCAAATCCTCCTCTTCCTATGCAGCTTTCTTTAGCGAAGTTGCTGGTTGCGGATTCTATAACTTCTAGTCTTATTCTGAGATGTTCGAACTGTTTTAGAACAGACATCCTTTTTGATGACTGATCAGAAATACGAAACAAGAATGGCGAAGTGGGAAAAAAAGGAGAGCGATGGAGAGAGAAATAGACAAAGGAGACGGATTCACAGGTGGGAGACAAAGTTCATATATTTTCAAAAAGAGTTGATCATTTTTAAATGTGTAAGGAAATAGAGTTTTTATTTGAGTAAATAGGAAAATTGGTCCTTATACTTTACCAAAAAATACAGTTTGAGGCCAATATTTTTTTTTTCTGTAGATAGTTACTTTAAATTTGAAAATATCGTATAAATTTGGTCCTTTGAATATTTCATATATATTTAAAAAGTTTATCCTTTTGATTTTTTTTTTATTTACGTAAATATTTTTGTAATTAAAAAAAAAATAAATAAATAAATAAATCCCCTTAACCAACTTCTTCCTTTCTTACTCATCTCTTCCCCGGAGCACCACCATCGACCACCGTCGGCCACCTCTGTCTAGAGATTTACAGTTGTCCATCTCCGTTCACCTTCGTCCATATTCACCATCGCCTACCTACATACAGACGTGTTAAGATCCACCACTGTCCACCTCCTTAGTCAAACAGATCTATAAAAATTATTTTCATTCAATCATTTATTTTTGTTAGATCCGACGACGTTCCAATGATGGTCGTGTTTCCAGACCCGACGACGTTCCTCCTTGATGGAGCCAGTGAAGTTGGTTGGAGTAGGTGGCGACCTTGTTACTTTCCATCGGTGGTGGTGGTTTCCAACGAGATAATGGTGCCCGGAGGTGGCCGGTTATAACGGATGATGGTGATGCTCCAGGAGAGAGAGAGAGAGAGAGAGAGAAAGAGAGAGAGAGAGAGAGAGAGAGAGAGAGAGAGAAGAAGAAGAAGAAGAAGAAGAAGTTGATATATTGAAAGAGAAAGGGTTGGGTGGGGTTATTATTAGGAGATTTATTTTCTTTTTTCTTTTCTTTTTAATTATAAAAATAATTAACGAAATAAAAGAAAATCACGAAAGAAAAATAATTCTTTTAAATGCATTCAAATTTTCGAGGTACAAATTTGTATGATATTTTCCACTTTAGATGAACCATGCGATAATTTTTTTAATTATTTATTTTATATTTATTATTTATTTTTGCTTGAAACTGTATTTTTTTTGATAAACCACATAGACTAATTTTGCAATTTACTTTAACCAGTTTAACATGTTTGTATTCTATACATTATAAAGTTAAAATATTCAAGAAATCAACATTATATAGCATAAAATTACTATATATATATATATATATATATATATATATATATATATATATATATATAAAGAGAGAGAGAGAGAGAGTAAGAGAGAGAGAGAGAGAGGGAGTGAAAGAGAAAGATAAGTTCAATTGATAAATTAAAAAATGTTGAGAATAAGAGAATATTCTCACTCAATCATTTATTTTTACCACGAAACGCTCCGACGTACAAACGCGACAGAGAATAAGTAATATTCACATATATAAATGTAAGTGTATTCACATATAAATTCTTAAACTCTTTTCGTAAAAATCTCATTTCGTTTATGTTACAAAGAAAAACTCCGTATTCAATTAAATAATAACCCAGGATCCTCAAAACATAACTCTTCCTCTGGTGTGTATAATCGAGCCGGTGTCATCCCGTGATCCTGAGAGAAACCTGAAACATATAACACTTAACACGGTAAGCACGAAGCTTAGTGAGTTCCCCAAAATACCGCACATAACACATACTAGCCACTTGAGGCTATAACTTTGTGGGCCCTTGGGCCCTAACTTTGTGGACCTTCTGGTCCTAACTCTGTGAACCTTCCGGTTCTAACTCTGATATACACACGGTATAAATCACATAAAAATAATGCAGTGCAACACATCACATAAATATCATACAATAACTCTATCACATAACTCTAATTACCACTCAAGGTAAAGTATAGTGAGAAGACTCACCTCGGATACTCGGTAAACCTTGTACTCTGAAATACTGCGTGAGCCTCCACCTAATCACATAAATAATTTCTCTAAGTAATACAACTTCTAAAGGCTAGGCTAATCCTCCTCTATAAGCCCTCTAAGAAGGGTAAAAGACCATTCTACCCCTCTAATGGCTAATAAGACCAAATCATTGACCGAACCCTAAAAGTCAACGAAGTCAACTCTAGTCAAGGGTCAAACTTTGACCAGAGTCATCGAGTGCACACGAGTGACTCGGCGAGTCCATGCTGGTTCTCTGAATCCCTTTTGAACCTCTCAGGCACGACGAGTTCCCTATCTACTCATCGAGTTACTCAGCAACGAATCGCGGGGCAACCCCGACCCGACTCATCGAGTCTGCCTATGGACTTGGCGAGTTGCTCCCATGATAACACTCATCTGACCTTCTGAGGTCAGATCCGTTCATCTAATCCATAGATCTGAATTCCCTATAACCAATAACCATGTAAAGGTCGAATCTTGGTACACATGCAAGGCTCTCTATGCTTATTTTGGTGAAATCCTTCATATCATGACAACCCTAGCTCATAACTCCAAGGAAAAGGCATAAATCATAATGGAAGGGACTCTCTGGACCTCTTAAGGTCCAGATCTAGGAATCATTTCACCATGGGACCTCTCATACTCTAGATTCAAGCTAAATAAAGCATGAAGAAACCCTAGATCATGAAATCTACTAAACAAATGAAGATGGACATGAATCCTTACCTCTCACATCAGCTCTGAACGAAATGATGGAAGATTTGAGTCCCACAAGACAGCCCAACTCGAAATCCTTCCTTCCCTTTGCTAAGACACTCCAAGGATGATGAATTAGCCCTCCTCTTGCACTACAAGCTTCCTCTCTACTCTCTATGGTTTCTCAGGGTGTAGTGGCCATAAATGAAGGCCATAAGGACCTTTAAATAGGTCCCAAACCCGAGAAATTAGGGTTTCTCTACCCAGCACCTACTCGGCGAGTCCCTCCTCTAACTCGTCGAGTCCACTCATTAAATCTGCGCGAGAAACCCAACTCGACTCGGTGAGTTGGATCCTCAACTCGTCGAGTCTCTCCTTTAATAAAAAGATTCATCTACACAATAATAACCCTGAAATTCCGAATGTTACAAATAGCCAGTCCAAACCAAAGCCTCAACAGTAGACCACTTTCCTTGGCGCTTCCAAAAGTCGACCAAGCATAATAGTTGAATCACCAATCCTGTCTGTAGACCTTCCACATCGCATCTCTGAATCAAGCTCGACCATAGACCTAGATAACATTAAACGCTCCAACCCAGCAAAGAGGGAAACGACTTTTCACTAACCACCCTGTACCTCACGATATACAAATGGCATATGACAATGTTTGAAGGCATAATCCAAACACAAGCAGGGAAACAAACCCAGAGATACACTTACTAAAACCCTTGAAATGAAAAACTCCCTCGTGCAGTTTCCCGCAAGTACTATACTGAATCCGGCCCTGTTGGCCTCTCAAAAGTTGACCCAAACTCTTGGTTCTCTTTCCAAGACCCTCAAATATATGCACCTGATCTGTTCCTTTATTACCTGTGTGCTCTAAATCAATCCCTGCTCTCGAGTTCTAGGAATCATATCATTCAGGGTCTCACACCCTGGCACACTCACCAACTCAATCATTCATATCTGAATTATAGCAGCTGAAGCAACCTCTGCCTTAAATCGAGCTACAACTACTCTCAAGACACAGTTTCCAATCGAAAAGCACAATAAATAGCACAATCAATACTTGCCGCTTGATACAAGAGATCCAAGGTGAATTCAAAATCATGGCAGTCCTTCCACTAAGTGGCTCACCATCGGAGCGGGGACCAAACCCTGGTCCTTCCCCTTTTGTGCTCATCCGCATTCTGCACAGCAACTATCTCGACAGTCTAATCACAACAATTAATTCTCCTTCCCAGGATTCTTAGATTCTCCAAGACTTTCCTCGATTCGAGTATGGATCATGTGCTTTCAGTAGTACGGGCCCAATACTACCTTCCACACCTATCCATACTTTCCTCTACAATCCTCCTGAATCCTCTAAGTCACCTACTCCACTGATGCGCCAAATATCGCTAAACAGTAGCATAATACCCACTAAAGCAATTCTTAGCCTCCCCCTAGGTTCCCAACTTCACCGAACCACCCCACTAACCCACCGGTGCATATCTTAGGCTTTCCTAGGTTCCCAACCTCACCCTGCCATCAGCTACTAAAGAACTCTCCATGATGCCAGCCATTGTCACAACTAGCATTTTAGCTAGGGAATTTTCTCCTCATGTAAACATAAACTATTGTAAGACTTGTACTTTAAATGGATATCATACTCTATGCTCAATCAAAATCATCCATTTGAATTAAAACTCCTTAGTGAAGTTCAAAACCTAAAACATCTTATATACTTAACTATGGGTCTGAAACCCTAAATATCCCAGTTCATATTCAGTATGGACTAGGATCCTCTTATTGGGCCAGTATACTTTCTATTTGATAATTTTGGGCCAATGAAACCCATTTGGGCTCTAGTTGGGTCGACATTCGTCAAACCATAGCAATTAGGCCATGTTGGGCCTAAAATGACTCACTTATTTGTCATGGGCCATAATGGACCATGAACCTTTCTATTTCACCTTGATGGGTCGTGAACCCATCTCCTCATCTTAATTGGGCCATGAACCCAATTGGGTCGTGAACTCATTTGGGTTGTGAACCCCATCTTTCCCCATTCACGGCCCACTATAAAAAATATAGAAAAAGAATAGGATATTAGAGAGTGCCACCTCATCTTTACTTAGTGGTAATCTAGGTAAAGTAACTTACATATAAGTAAGCATCTACACTCTAAACCATCATGTATTAACCACTTGATCCTATCTCCTCCTTCTTCTCAATTTACAGCCGAGAATCACAACCCCCTACCATTCTCACTTCAACTTGAAACACATACTATAATTCCTCTCATATTCCTCTAAGAACTTCAAGAATATCCTCCTTTTC